TAAGAAAAGAAGGGGGAAAGGGGTTTCCACTGGGAAAAACAGGGATTGAAGCGATATTGCCTGAGGGAGACTGGCTTAGAAAGCCGCAGCTCCCAGCCGAACAATACGAAGGCGAGCTGAAGCGCGGAGGAAAAAAATAAGAAAACAACGAGTGGGAAAAATGGAAAGTTTGGCGAGGTCGGGATAATTCTCCGCTGTCGTTGTTTATTATTAGAAAAAAAGGAAAAGGGCTTAAGATTTCTAGCGAGCGGTGAGGCAATCGGAGCAACGACATTGCAGGTTGAATTGCATTAAACGGGGACCTCAATTAGCCCGATTGAGATCTTGATTGACTGCCTGATTGGGAAATTACCGGTCCGATTGAGAGGCGGAATGCAGGTGTTGGCCCTGGCAACCGCAGGACTCGAATTGGTTGAGGCCTCGGCACGACAGATCCAAAGTATGACAGATGTAACACAATTTGCACTATGGTACAGTATATTACAAATATACCAGTAATTGACAAAAAAAACATCTCCAGATAAGACCAAGATATGAAAAACACATTTACCCACATTTTGGTGCTTTCATATATTTAAAAACCATTAAAATGTATTAACATGACACTGTGATTAACTGGAAGAGGTTAGTGTAGATGTTTTCTTTTTTCCCTTTCAGCTAACAATATTTAACATTGTTTTCTCCAGGGAATAGGCATACCTTAGTAATGAAAACACAGCCCTCTGGTCATACCTGTTTTTCAAGCTGTTGGATTTTGTAGCCTAGTGCAGTTATTTTGTCTTCAATTTCATTTTCAACTATTGTTTCCTTGTATCACTGAATTTCTTTGACACATCGTCTTCAATGCCAAGGCATTTGTTTGATGTGATGCTGGTGTGGCAAATTCTTCTTATTGTCATGTTCTTTCCTCCTAGTGATGGTACAGTAAGTCACCTGACTTGGCTTTTGCTGATGCATTGTTCCCTGTTAGCAGGTCATATAATAATTATTTGAATAATAATAATAATAATAATAATAATAATAATAATAATAATAATAATAATAATAATAATATTAAACCTTTTCTGATTATGTTGGTCACATAAATCACAACTTAATGGTAAAGTCATATTTTGACTTTATAAAGGCAAACTGTGACATTGTGGAAGGCTTTTCAGACCACCACATGATCTGCACAGGTGGTGATGGGCACAGAGCAGCCTGTTATGAAAATATTCCCTTTACAGAAGTGACATTAGTTATTAGTCTTTTCCTCTAGCAACTCAGCCTTATTTGCACAGCCAAGGCAGCGTTGATGCCAACGTGACATTTTGATGTTAACTGCCAGGTTCCAGGGGAGAAGATCGGGGCTCTTGCTCTATTCACTTGTCAACTTTCTACATAATCTCATTATAACCCAGAAGCGACATGGATGAAGGATAGTGTCATATTCCTCCCATGCTTGATACACAATAGAAATCAGCTCTGTCAAGACCTCTAGATTTTCACCAATTCATCACAATAACTTCTGACTTACATGGAGCACCAGCAATGTTTCCGAGACTCAAACAAACTGCTAAGACATATTTTTTTAGCTGATACCCTGTCTTCTTATGAGCAACAGCTGAATAATTTGCTTTGATTAATCAGCCCCAATCTACAAAACAAGCTAGACGGGCTGAATGACTTTCTATCATTAATATCCTCTTATGTTCATTAACTTAGAACACCAGCCTGCTTTTCTTAGAGATAATGTACTGAATATATAAGCAATACATGTTAGATAGAAATACAAACACACTGTATACTGTACATGCACTTGGCCTTCAATTTGCATCTTCAGTACAAGCATTATCAGACTCATTAAATAGTGTTAGAAATAATTTAATTGTGTGGCAGTTTTACTGTATTGATTGTACACTGGCTGTTTATTTCCAAGACTTAAAAGCATGATAGTTTAATATTTGCTGTCATAAGATTAGTTAAAATAGGAGAACAATTAGGTTGCAAATTAAAGTGCTAAACTTAAATGAAAGGCTGTGGGATCAAATATTGGAAAGGATTTCTAACCACGCAAGATCAAGTACAAGCTGTGTGGAATTAACCTTTTCCTGAAAGTTCAAATTGATTCAAACTGGCTTCTTTCCGCTCTGGCATAAACAGTATTACACAATGTAACAGTAGGAAGAATTTGCAACAACAGCTTTACATCAAACAAAAACCTTGGCACTGAAGACATTGTGTCAAAGGTTTTCAATGATGAAAGGGAAAAAAAAGTTCAAAATGAAATTGAAGACAAAAATAATTGCACTACACTGCAATTATTAAAAAACCTCACTTATTACAAATGGCTCGACAAACAGATATCGTCAGGTTGCTGTTTTCATTACTAAGCTGTGCTTATGCCCTGGAGAGAAAAATGTTAAATACTATGTTAGCTGAAAGATGAAAAAAATAAATATCTAGCTTCATACAATTAATCACAGTGTGATTTTATAATTTCATGTTACTGCATTCAATACTTTTTAAACATATGTTAAAATATACGTAAGCAGAAAAATTAATGTGTGTCTTTCATACAGTATATTGGTCCTGTACAAAGATGTTGTTTTTGGTTAATTTCTATTACAGTAGATCTGTCATGTACAAGAGCTGACTGCAGAGAAGCAGTTTAAGGTTTTTGCAAGAGTTGAGTTGATGAAATACTGAGAGATCAAGAGACTCCGTTTATGTCCTATGTGTTCTGAGACCTCGGTCTGATATTGAATACTGTATTAAAAATCTCCAGAACAGGGACATACAGTATTATATTAAAAATATATATCAGACAACATTTGGAAATTCATAGATAAACCCAAGGAAAGATGAGATGCTTTGATATGACTACTGAATATAAATTAAGTAAGAAGTGTTTAGAAATTAATATAAATTAAGTAAGAAGAATTAAGTTAAAACTATACAACACATTAGTTTGTTTAAAATATTAATTAAATATTAAAATAATACAGTAACTAAACTGCAATGGATAATGTATTGCTTTAGAAGCATTACAAAAGGACTATCAGACCAATTAATTTCTTAAGGAAATGTCATGTTCAGGTGGGTTATATTGGACATAATAGGGTTTAATCTACGTAACAAAGTTTAAAATATGAACACTAATTCCTTGCTCTCGCCTTTCCCTGTCTGACAGCGGTGAAAAATCCACTTTTGTTATCGTGATACCCGCTGGTTATGACTAGATGGCCCAGAATACCAGCAATTACAGCCCTTCAGTTTTTCATCCCTGACGGCCTCCTGAGAACGCATTTTCGCGTCAGAGCCACTGGTGTGTCTAATTGAGAGCGCTGTATCAAATGTTTATTCGGGGGGTTTGGTTCTTCATTGCAGTACCAAGCCGAAATCTCCACAGCTCAGGCGATTAATTTCTCTCTCTCTAACAAAGAGAATGTTTTGTTCCCTCTTTAATCAAGTTTAAGGCTCCTTCCTAAATCAGATAAACAAAAGTTTGCACGGTTCGATTCCACACTGGCACTCTTTATCTCCTGCAGATGGTAATCGACTGTAAACTGGTAGAACACGCACGCCCACACACCAAGCAGTTCCACACCTGATAATCTTGCCCATCATCTCCATGACCTTTAACTATTTTCTAAAGTTACATTTTTGTAACATTATTTTTACGGTGTTGTTTACCACTAAGTGTTGTTTGTAGGGGTGAATTATTTGATCACGCAGGGGGGAAACTGCAGGTATTTTACTGACATTCTGTATGTCTTCAAGTTAGTAACCACATCTGACCATAATAACAAACAATGGTGTACAGAAGGATGAATTATGCCATTTAATATTATTAAATAGAAATTAAAAAATATAAAGGCCTATTAAAAGCAGAATTGCAATTTCAATGTATGATTGACAGTACTCCTCAAAAACAACATAACTCTGATAGGCTATGATGTTAGCAGGATTTAGCACCATTTAGCAGCTGGACCAATACTACAACCTCTTCAGGTTATGAGGACCTGAAAATCAGTAACAAGTTTTATAAACTTTTCTTCTCCTTATCATTACATTTGTTAATTATTTTTTTTATTCAACATATCCAGAATACCCCCAAAAATTGACTGCTAAATTAGCCGATTTCTAAATTAAAAGAAGTGTTGTCTGGCCACCACCATTGCTGATGCTGGAAATTCATGTACAGAAATGTGGAGAGATCTATTGTTTTCAGGTATCTCCCTACTGGAAATACTTGCTTGTTAACTTAAGGATACATACATTTGCTGTTTTTCTGAAATCTTATCTGTACAGACAGACGGTGAAGATTCTAATGCAGTTCTTGGAATTTACTTCACTACACTTGCGTCCTCGTGACATGATGTGCACAGTCCAGAGTGGAAATGCCCAAGATGCAGCAGCTTCAGAATTCCCGAAAGTTACAAAAAATATTTTTAAAAACTTTGATTTCTGTTTTCTTTATCAGTGGCCATCAGTGGTGTGTTTACTGAGTTTCGGGTGTTGGATACATCTATTGTACAGTATATATCATTCACACACCTGTACATTGTCCACATGCCCAGCTTGTCACACACCAATTACAGTCAATTGTTAAAAAATTGCAATCCACATCTAGAAGGGTTGTCTGTATTAAAGATTCTTTGTAGTTGCTTTCTTTTTTTAAAATGTTTCCTCTTAATCTGCTGTGTTGACACCACCAAAACTATAGAAACTTCATAATTTTGTTCTTAATCTATACAGTACATGCACAGTTTTATTCCTTCTGGAAAGTTACACATACAGTATAATAATACATAATGTACATGGCTGCTGATGTATGATTGATTGACTCATTATGAACATAGTAGTTCAACTCGTATGAATTGACCTTGAAAAGTAAAAAAGCCACAATAAAACATGTGGTGGGGCAGCTTTGAAGTCACCTGTCTGGAATTTCTTTAAGGGAAGATCATCTCCCTTTCCTGTAAATGAGGAGAGGAGAGGGGTGTGTTTTGCAGGGTTTTCAGGTATAAATATCAGTTAGAAACTCCCTGCAAACTATCCAAGAGGAGAAGGACAACAGGCAAGATGCTTCCCTACATTGCATTCATTGCTTTACTGGTCCTGTTTGGTGAGTTGTCTTTTATATGACAGTAGTGTATATACCTAGTATTGTATTTCAAGCTGGCAGGATGATAAAAAAATCATTTCTGTTCTGTTCATTTGCAGGACGGGCTGTTGATGCCCAGAATAACACTGCGCAGCGGGTGGTGGGAGGGGTGACGGCCACACCCAACTCCTGGCCTTGGCAGGTAAGAGAGCAGATTTCATTTCGAAATACACAGCACAGCAGGAGGGCTTACATACAGTAAGACACGTTTAAATCATTGTCTCTCAGTAGCATGTGGCTCTGCTCAGGAGACGCTAAAGGCACTCTCCATCCTTCAGCATGCAATACTACTGGCCCAGTAGACCAGTGAATGTTTTTAGTAATTAAAATCAAAATGTTATCAGCTTTATATTCTAATGTTAGCCACTAGGTATTTATATTAATAAAAATAGTATATATATATTTCGTCATTGAAATCCCATGATTAACAATTAAACAATTTGCCAAAATGTCACAAAAAGCTATTAGATTTGGGTTAAAGGCTCACACAGTGACGTCTCCTAGATGCCTCCTGTGCAATTTCTGTTCCACTCCCTGTACAAGAGCAGTGAGAAATCCAGTCCTGATCCAGTGTCTTTCTCTTCCTCAGGTGTCGATCCGTATTAGCTCCAGCAACTGCTATCCCCACAACTGTGGAGGTGTCCTGGTTCACAGCCGCTGGGTTCTGACAACAGCCTCTTGTGCTGCAAGGTAGAGAAACACTAATTGGAGCATTAATTAAGTAGAAAAGATCAAAGATGAAATTCCAAATCAGATTCTACAAACTACAAACCAGAGACTTTCTTTACTCTGACAAATGATCTCCCTGTAACAAAGTTGTGAGAGGAGAGGGAAGAGTTTATTGAAAATGATCTCGCTTCATTCCATTGTACAACTCTTCACAGTGTCATACAGACACTGAAAGTCTTCAATAACTAGAGCCATGTTCCAGGTACACGACTCTGGGACCTTGGCTTGGTTTGACACACAGGAGTTAAGGAAGTGGACCACGTTGTTGAAAACACCTTTACTGTGAAATCTGTTAAGATCCTGGTCTGTTCATGGTTCTTAAAGGCTCTGTAGATTGATGGAGCCGATGGAGTCAGATTGAAGATTAATTGGAGTAATTAATGTTCTTGCTAAAGACACATTGTTGAAATGAATCTACTATCTGTACCTTTTCTTTCTGCAGTGGCACTCTGGTTGCTTTCCTGGGTGATCACAATATTTACGGGATTGAGGGACGTGAGCAAATCATTCCTGTGGAAAGGATCATCATTCACCCAAGCTGGACTAACAACCTTGCTGCTGGGTACGTCTCACACTGTGGCCCTTTATGATGAATACTGTAGCTTGTGGATGAGTGAAGATGGTTTAGCAATTGTTGTAAAACAATTCCGTTGTACAGAATAATAAAGAAAGAGCAGATGCATATGATGCTTAGTTTAAGTGTAATTAGTAACAGGATTCAGACAGGGGATGGGGGATTCTGCACCAGACAGCATGACTGTCTGCTGCGTCGGTCCCTCTGTGTCACTGAGTGCTGCAGCTGGTCCCACCTGTTTCAATTGCTTCAAAGAGTGTGCTGCTGATTAATAATAATTGAAAGCAAGTAACAAATGGAAACAGAAATAAAACCTGCTATTACCCTGTACTTGACAATTTGAATGAAAGATCATGAAAGATGTTCATATGATAACCTAGTGTATCTGTACAGAGTTTTCCTGAACTGAACTGGTCTCCTCCTGTGTTCCCTGTGCTGTGTGCAGATATGACATCGCTTTGCTCAAACTGAGTCAGAATGCCGTCCTGAACTCCTACGTCGCTGTGGCATCACTGCCCAGCAGTGGCGTCATCCTTCCCAACAACAACTTCTGCTATGTCACTGGCTGGGGAAGCACCAGCAGTAAGTTTGTAACAAGAAATCTTCCAATATAAATTCTGGTTTAAATTAAGGGGAAAGTGGGTAAAATAAAATATATTGATGCAACAATGTTCTAGAACAGGAAAATCGTTTGTATAAATTATTTCTTTTCGCTACTGCTTTTATAATCATTCTTGGAAAATGAAATATCTTGATATGCTTCAGAGTATCATCATCATCTATATCTTATTGAATTTCGAGATGATGAGTTCTCAGTTGGTGACGTTCTGTATGTTGTTTACAGCCTACGGCCAGCTGTCGGCCACCCTCCAGCAGGGCTACCTGCCCATTGTGAGCTACGCCACCTGCTCCAGCAGCGCCTGGTGGGGATCCACTGTTAAGACCACCATGGTCTGCGCTGGTGGAGATGGGTACAGAGCAGCCTGTTACGTATGTATTTGCTCTACAGATCTGTCCCTTTCATCATCCGTCTTTTCATTCAGCAACTCAGCCTTCTTGAGTACTAAAACCCTCTTGCTGCCATCAAGATTGCAGATATTTAGGAAAATGTCTTCACTACTGCACTTGGAAAACAATTACTTTGCTCAGGAAGGCAAAGATTTCTCAATTCATTTCTTCATATGACTGTCCTGTGATAACATCAGTACAGTGTTTGTATATAATTTGTAATGCCCCATCCTGGATGGTTGGGCACATCAGTGTTAATCTTACAATCACATTGTGCTCTGTCTCCTGAAGGGTGATGGTGGAGGAGCCCTGAACTGCTACACAAATGGAAGATATGAGGTTCATGGAATTTCTACCTTCATGTCTTCACTGGGCTGCAATGTTTACCAGAAGCCCAGTGTCTTCACTCGCATCTCAGCCTACACTAGCTGGATCAGCAATGTGAGTACCTGAATATCGTATCGTATCGTCTACGATAAAGCAGTCTATACTAATGTACCTCATTTGTGAGAGCTTTAACTAGGTTGGTAAACCTCCAGGCCTGGAACTACTGTATAGTGCTTTGAATTTGAAATGTAGTGTCTTTATTTAGTCCTTCCAGCTGTACTAAATCTTTTTCTTCATATTATTTGTGTCCTTTTCCATTGTTGACACTTTTTGAAGTTATAGTACTTATATATTGTTAAGACACCTTGTTGATATATCTTTCTTCTCCTAGACCATCACCTATAATTAAATGATCCCGGGCTGCTTGTGTGAACCTTGTTTCTGGCTCTGGAACAAAGTGGACACTGCCCTCCTGCAAGAATACGTAACAGATGTACTGTATATCCAAGCAATAAAACATTATGAGCAAATGAACCTTTCTTCCTGATCTTGAGCTCAACTCACTCTTTTTAAATGATGCAGAACAAAGATGCAGAAATACTCAGAATATAAGTTTGCATATTAATTAAATTACAAGCATGAAAATATTAAGAATTCATAACTGCTGTCCAAGGCTGTGGATTCATCAACAATAAGCAGGTGTCATGCATTAATAACAAATTGCACTTGTTTTGTCCCTGGGTCAGTTTTGTTCCTTTACTTTGACTCCTTTCTAAGCTCTGACATTCTATCTTGAAGAGGTCCATTCATCCGGCCATAAATAAGAGGATCAGTCATTGCGAGATGTTGACTCAGAACGTATACATAATGAGAAGTAAATTCACACCTTAAACTATTAACATACTCTCATTCAAAACAGAAATGTTTCCTAACACCCATTATAAGGAATGATGTTAATGCTATAATGAACTACAACATCTAGTCATTATACATAGAGGGACAATGACATTTATAATCAGAATTTCTGTCACTTATGTGTGGGTTAGGAAGCTATCATGTGACCAAAACCGGTCACTTATATGGACCCCAAACTATCCTGAACACTGGAAGGCTTTTTCTGCAATACACATGGATTTCATCTTCTGCTCCTGAGAGTTTTTTTACCCCACAATGAGTTGTTTCAATTTTTATATAGTACCTTCCATACCTTCTTCAGAGGCAGATAATATTTCCTTTGACAAAAGATTTTCCAACTTAATTGAGACAGATGAGTATAATGATAATAATAATAATAATAATAATAATAATAATAATCTGTTCATAATAACCACTGAAATTCAATCTTAAACTTAATCTTTGTCTTAACCCTCACTCTTAAGTTTTCATAATATAGATACAAAATCTGATACTTTTTCCTTTACTTCAAAGTTAGATGTACAGTTGTGAGAAAAGGTTTGTGAACCCTTTAGAATTATCTGGATTTCTAGCTCCTAAAATGTGATCTGATCTTCAACTACTGTAAGTCAAAATAATAAAGACAAAGAAAGATCTTTATTGTTTATTTTTTTTGGTTCTTTCCGTGAAGCACTTTGAGAAGCCACTTTTAAAGGCACTATATAAAATAAAGTTAATTATTATTGTTAATATTAAATTATGTGTCAACATAAAAAGTTACGTCTTTTTCATAAGTAGGCTATTCTGTCTCAGGGTTTCCCTTTTTGTATTCAGTGTTTATGTTTGTGCTACCTGCACGCAAAGAGTAGCACTTTAAGTGTTATATAAAGAGTGTCAGGTGTTTGCCCAATTTTGAATTTCATCTAAATCTCTGTACATTTCATTTGCTTCTTCTATGATGTTTATTAACATTTTATTGACCAGGTAATAGTGCTTAATTTCCAACCCAATGACCCATACGGTGACAACACACTTTGAACTGTATTCTGTGAAATCCTTGGGCTAAGATGGTACTGATATACAGTATGGTGACTGTTATGCTGAAATCAACCACAGCAGTACCCTTTCATTATTCTCACACATCGATACCCTTTCTCCCCTGGATATATCGAAAGATGTATTGGTGACAGACACAGCAAAGATAAACCCATTCCATCACAGTGTGTGTAAACATTGTGTATTATTTATCATTGTAAACATTTGTTTGTCCTGTCTTTTTAAGTTTGCCACCAGGTCTTTAAGCATATTTTTTATAAAGCAGTACCAGAGAATATTGAAATCACATGTTATGTAACACTCAGAATTTGCTAAGTATCTGGGTGGGATTATAATTTATCTTTATAATTTGCTTGCATAGCATGGCTTGAGTCAGGATCATATTCTTAAATTGGCTTGATATCCTCTTCTTATACAATTATAATAATATTTAATAATTGCTTACACTTATATAGCGCTTTTCTGGACACTCCACTGAAAGCGCTTTACAGGTAATGGGGACTCCCCTCCAACACCATCAGTGTGCAGCCCCCACCTGGATGATGCAATGGGAGCTATAGTACACCAGTACGCTCACCACACATCAGCTATCAGTGAGGAAGAGAGCAGAGTAATGAAGCAAATTCATAGATGGGGATTATTAGGAGGCCATGATTGATAAGGGCCAATGGGAAATTTAGCCAAGACACCAGGGTTACACCCCTCCTCTTTTCGAGAAATGCCCTGGGATTTTTAATGACCACAAGAGTCAGAACCTCGGTTTTAGGTCTCATCAGAAGGATGGCGCCTGTTTGTCACTATACTGGGGCATTAGGACCCACATGGACTGCAGGGTGGGCGCCCCCTGCTGGCCCGACTCACACCTCTTCCAGCAGCAACCTTAGTTTTTCCCCAGGAGTCCCATCCAGGTACTGACCAGGCTCACACTTGCTGAGCTTCAGTGGGTTGCCACTTGTGAGTTGCAGAGTGATATGGCTGCTGACTGGCTTATAAGACCAAACCTAATAGAATTGGAGTTGGAGCTGAAGATTCAACAGAGCTACTCAGAACTCTGCAAGTTCACACCACAGACCTCATAGGCAACTGTGGGCATCATTTATAT